ATGCCACGTCCAACCGCTGCACTGACTGGAGATAACAACACGTGGAGCCAGCAGGAGAGACAAAATCATCCCCACGGAGGCCTCCAGTCCAGCCTGACCCAGGTGGTCCACACGGGAGGAGATGACTCAGGGTTGGAGAGGGCTGAGGGGAGGGAAAGCTTCCTGGTTTGAAAGGACCAAAACATCACCTCAGGAGTGCAATGTTATGATGACTCTCCCTCTCTTCCTCAATGGACTTGGGCATTGGAACAAGAAATACCATAGCAAACCTACAGCCAGCTGAGGTTCACAGTAAATCGCACTAAACTAAATTCAAATACACAGGATAAAATCAGGAAATTTTATGATCTTTCTCTCTTCCCTCCACAGGTACCAACTATTTCTGTTTCGAGACGATAACTGCGCCACCTTAAATTTAACTCTGAGCAACTGCTCTGACCCTGTATTTAGTTCTGAAAACTGCCGTTTCTTTTTCAGACTTGAAGAAGGGCCCAGAAACATGGAAACTGTCTAATCTTTACAACCACACCAGTTGGGCAGATAGCAGCAGATACTACCTCCAGGTACAAACCTTTGCCAGATTTCCCAGGGTTATGAAGCAGAACTCAAGGCATCATTGCCTGAGGTGACAGAAACATCTACACTGGTAGATGCAGAGCTGAGATGCACAGGTGACCAACGGGAGGTACCTTAACAAGAGGTTTTCTTTATTCTGCAGGCCACGTGTACTGCCCAGCCTGTCTGCTAGACTTGGTTCCTGCTCAACCAAAATACATCGAGGCTCCGTTCCTGCTCCCGAGCTCAGGCGATTTCCTGAAGGAAGCCACGTCTTCAGGGGGATGATGCACACACACCCCGTGATGCCCCCACACCACGCAGGCACCACACAGCGAGGGCTCGCAGGCTGGGAACTGCACCCCAGCACAACCACCTCGCAGCACAGACGTAAACAAAGCGAATCTGACTTTAAATGAAACTTTTAAATTATTAAAATAAAATAGCAGAGTCACTGAAGGAGAGAGGGGGAAAAAAAAAGTTCTGGGCAGGTTCTACAGTCGAAATAAAACCGAAACAGTGATTTGGCATGTGAGCTTCACAGCGTGTTAAGAAAATAAGTACTTGTTCAAACACCTGCACTGATTTCTCAGATGCGTTAAAAGAGAATGAACACACTGAAACCCATTTGGTTGTGAAATTCGGTTCATTTGGCACATCCTCCACTTGTGAAAGAAAACAAACAGCAAAAGCAGACAGGCCACAGCGTGAGCAGCCGTGCCCTCGCCTGCCCGCCTGGCTGCAGCGTTCAGAGGAACGTACCTGGCTGTACCAGCTCGGCTTCAACTTCAACCCCAGCCCTCGGCCTGTCCAGTAAAAGCATCAATAGCATTGCCAGCTGAGAACCGCCCATGCCCGGGAACTCATTTTTACAGGTCACTGGCTAGCCAGACGACAACAGCTCCTGGCCATTGCTGACCTCTCTCTGACATGAATCGCTGATTTCCAGGAGAAAGAAGAGCCACGAGCCAGCCATTTTCTTAATCGTAATTAAAACAAAACCAAACGCACTCAACGGCCTCTGTGTGATTTTGTTTGTACTCAGTGTAAGTGTGCAATCATCCTGCCACGTTTCTGGGATGTGAACGCTAACATGGTAAGAATTTGAGTGCATTCAGTTCATCTGCTGAGGCAGGGAGTACTCCAGCGTAAGTAGGAGCTGTTGAACAGAAATCAGGATCAGAACAGTCTGGATAACAAAATGTTCTCTTGCATCGAACCCATGTGAGCTGACAAAACAGATCTGGACAGGTGTGTCTTACGATGGAAAAATTAAAGGCCATAAAGAAATGAATGAAATGCCCTTTAGATATGTTCCACTCTCAGCGTCATTAAGATGCAAAAGGCATCTTAAAAAATGCCATCTCCATAAAGCTCAAGCACGCACACCGAGAAACAAACCAACCAGCCTGGATGAGTGGCCACTTACAGTAACGTCTGCCTTAATGTCTCTGGCAAAACTGGCTTCCTTAACTGAGCAGTCCTGCTCCCACTGCACCATACAGAGCTACAGATTACAGGTAGAGCTGGGAGTTTTAAGAGAAATGGAGCAAAGCCACCAAAACACATGTCAAAGCTCACATCAAAGAAACAAGCATCCAACCAGTTATTTCCTCTTACAAACATATTAAGTATTTGCCACTTGCAAGGATTCTCAGTCACAGAGACAGACTGCATCGTGTTTGACTCCGACAAAATGTCTCCTGAGAAAGCCTGCCTTGATCTGGAATTCTCATACTCGGGTTTTAACTCCCAGCCGTATTTACAGGAATCTGCTTCTTCCAATTTCCTAATTGAGACTGCACGGTTTGAAATATGCCCATCAGCTATGATATAACTGCAGATCTACTCGATTAAGAGATACGCATTCTCAGGCTTCAGAAAATAATTAGGCACTCCTGATTTTTCCTGCCGCTTCCTGAGGAGAAGATGCCAACAACCAACAACAACAACTGAGATCACCGGTCTCATCCAGCCTCACAGTTACAGTGACTCACAGAACTGCTACCACAGTAACCATCAAGATACCTGGAAGTTACCCAATAAACCCACACCATGCGTCCAGCTTCCACTCAGAGCTGGACTGGTCCCTTACTCACCAGGCTCTTGGTCCTTAGTGGATATGCACTCTTTGATGGACTCTGTAATGCCGAGGCTGGCTGCAGTGGGGAGTGGGCCGAGCAAGGATTCCAGCGCTGGTGGTCTTACAAAAGCCCCATTTCCATTTTTGGATTCCCCGCCTTCATTTTTTTTTACTCTGTCCTTCTCGTGAAGTTCATTACAGAAGTCCTTGTTTAAGTGATTAGCAGCTGCTTCCAGCTCCTCATCTTCTGCCTCTTCTTCTCCAAGAACGCTAGAGGTGTTATCTTCTACAGAGTCTGCGAGGGGAAAGAACCCCAACAGATCATTGCATACCATTCGTTACAACAGCTAAACAAATAGAGAGGCACTCACTTAAAGAATACAAATCTTTAGAGAAAATACGTAGAAAAAATAGACAATATTTTAGTACAATGTGTGAATACTTGCAGTTTCCAGAAGCTCTTCAAATTCACTGCCTTGGCTATTACGACATATTTTTGTGAATACAGTCATCATTTAAAACAGAAGTATTGTGTTATCAAATTATGGCAAGTTAAAAGAGAAGCCAAACTGGTACAATTACAAATAGAAATTAGCCCGTTCGGCCTGCACAGAGCTTCTGTACTGAATAGTTAACTGGGGGATTCGGTCAGAGAAGGGTCTGGATACTGGTCCAGTGCACTTTCAATGGTGAAAAGGAACATTCTCAGGTGCCAGTGCCAAGCTTATACTGTACAAGGAAAGAAAAACAACTGACACCATTAACGAATCATTGTAATGAACAATGTAGCAGTTCATTTTGAAGACTGGTCCTTGAACCAACTAACTGGCAGAGAGAACCCCTGCCACACAGATCCTGCACCACACAGACACGTATATGAGCACATTTACCACAGTGAAGTTCATACACTTGAGGCTGTCTGCAGGATCTGAACTTGTTATTTTAGTAGTCAAGATTTTATAGACTTACCATCTTTAGTGAAGTTTGCAAATACGCCTTTTGCTTTTGGTCTACTGTTTTCTAATTCAATTTCTATTTCATCCTGATAGCTTGATATTTCACCTGTGGTGTTGAAATAAAAATAAAACTCAGCAATCGTTGATGCAAGTTTGAACAAATAAGTGACATGTTACACTAAAAACAACTCATACCTTCAAAATCCTCCAGCTTTTTTGATAACGCCTTCTCAAGCTGAAATGAAAATAAACAAAACAAATGTGAAATGACTAAAACAAGCACAACTTTGTACTGTTTGTGAACCGTATACATATAGACACGCAGAATCATTGGGTGTTTTAAAAGCAATAGGCAGGTTTAGATCCCAACTCAAATTACTTTATCATGTCAGACAGGTAGGACAGACAAGTTTCAAAACCCTGACCGATCTCCAAAGTTATCTCACCCATCTCTATACATCAGAAGGAACCTTCCCTCGGGCAAGATGAAACAAAAAGGCCTCGTTCCTCAACTGTCACTCGATGACTGTGTCTGTAGATGTGAGCAAGTGCAAGTCCAGCACTGAAATTGCAGTGCCCGGGCCAGACACAGCACACAGGCAATGGCAGAGTGGAGTACTGACCTACAGCACCTGGGAGACTCTTGAGAACACCATAAACACCCCTACAGACCTTTAAATGGCAACATATTGATAACAGTAAATGAAAACACCCTGAAAAGCTAATAATGTAAGAACTGGCTCTGATGGTAGTGAAACCTCCTCTGGTGACAGCTTTAGTGCACGCTTTGTAAAGAAATTAAGCCACATGAGAACTAATCCCTGTGGAAGCAGGGGCTGTACCACACAGAACCCCAGCATTCTCACTGAGGTATCTGGGTTATTGTTTTCATATATGTTTAAAAGAAACTTCTACGTGACAGCACTTCTGACCCCCTTACAAAGCTTACACCTTCTGTTGTGGTATAGAGGCACCTTCACAGCCCCAATCTTTGCTCGTCAGGGAGGGAGAGAAGTGCAGACATTAGGACAGCTGCTCAAGACCTGCATCCCACAAGCTCAGTGTAACATCACATGAGAACCTCCAGTTTTGTCAGGATAAAAAGATTTGATGCTTTGGTAAAAGGTCAAAGCACAAGAAGGGAAACACACGCAGCAGGAAAGCAAGCACAGTGGAGATAACAGTGCTTGGGGTAACTACACCAGCTTGCAAACGGGGGAGCATCTGGGCAGAGCGTGCAGAGCCCTCGTCTACAGCTCACCAGGCAGGGGCTGGGCACCAAACACTGGTAGCCCTCATCAGGGGATGTTTAAAGCTACATCTGAAGCTATGTATCTGAAAGAGCATGTCAGTCTGAAGAAGTGAGCTAAAATTATATAGAAGAAAACCTTATATATAACTATATATACACTATATGTTATGTTATGTTATGTTATGTTATGTTATGTTATGTTATGTTATGTTATGTTATGTTATGTTATGTTATGTTATATTTTTACCTAGGAAGCTATCCCGTTGCCAGTAAAACAAAAAAGGTCCTTTAATTAGTGGGTATCATACACATTAATGATGACCCTTCTCTTAAGAATGTCAAAATCAATGCAGTTAAAACTTTACCAAAGGCCGATCAGTTAGGATTTAGCATTAACTGATTTGAAAAGGAATATCCAGAGGAAGGAGAGAGGAGAGAAATACCGAGAGCACATGGTTGGGAATTGACCTGCTGTATCTTCAGCTTCTTTTGACCAGCTGTGAAGGAAGGAGGATCACATTCTTCTTCCAAGTCAATCTTCATGAACTCATCTATGGTTAGCTGACTCGTTGGTGTGTCTTCAAACTCCGTCAACCTACCAAAGCACACAGAACATTACCACAACATCTTTAAGAACTTCTTCAAAAGTAACAGAATTTGTCCAACCGCCACGTTACAGAATAAACACGTCATCCTTAGAAACTCTGGCTCAAGTGCAGAATACATTAAAACTGGAGCGATACCAATTGTTTCATCTGCAAAAAAAGTATCATTTCATATCACAAATTAGCTTTTGATTTACTGGAGTACATAACACACACTCTTTTTGATGGACGAAGCCTGAACAAAACTACGGCAGCCACTGAAGTCAATTAAGGGTGGACTGACAAAACTAAACACAGCTCATTCCTCCTGTCCTGTTATCAACAACAAAACAGATTCCCAAACGGAAAATATCCACCATCCTGCTTTAGAAGTACACTCAAAAATATTCCTGATACGTTAGCATGATTAATTTATGCAAAGCAACTGTTAAGGTAACGTATCTTTAGCAGGCTGGAAGAGAGACAAGAAGTAATCTTCCCAGGACTCACAGAAGCAGCAGTAAAATAAAGGCCTCATGTGCACATCGCATAGATGGACTAGACGAATGCGTGTAATTTTACAGTAATATACTCTGTATTTGTTTAATGTTCACACTGTAGAAGTTCCTACCTACGTGAGAGACAGGACTAGCTCCATGGGGAACTGCCACGCAAGCAGCTGCGTCTTTCAAAGGATCTGAATCTTAAATGAGACCACATTGCCATAACCTCATCCACAAACCCCAGCGTTTGATACAGGTGGTTGAGAACGAGCACATCCATTTCACAGATGGAGAAAGCGAGACAAAAGGTTAAGTACAAAGCCAGGTCAGGAAATGTCTGGCAGAATGCTTTTCTGACAGAAAGTGCCCTTTTAATAATACCAACATTTTCCATGGGAAAACGGCCATGATGGGTCTGCAGCTGCTTCACTGGAATATTCCCATCTTCCAGAGGAAGCAAAGCTGACAGCAGCTTCCATCTGCAACACGCAGAAACCAAAACCGGTGATTCAGTACTCCCGGCACAGGACCCTTCAGCATTGCTGCCCCCGTGAGCACAGTTGTGGTTTTCTCCTCTACCTCTGATTGCAGCAAAACTCCTTCCAAAGAAGGGATTTTCTTTAGGACAGGAATTCAGTTTCTCACCAACTCCAGGGTCAAAGCCAAGGGCACAGGGCCACACTCTCTCCATATCCTCACCAGTACCTGTAGTTCTTTTTTATAAACTTGAGGAGCAGGACAACTCAGCCCTTACCAAGGCATGGAGGCACGCTGTGACTTCAGGACACTTGGCCTGCTGTCACCTTGCTCCCGGAGCACAGCTCACAGCTCACACACAGCATCTCCTGCCGTGAAATGTGCAGAGAGAGCCCAGCACTGCCACATAAAACCAAGGGCAAGCAGCACGCTGAGCCCGGCAGAGTCAGTGCTGGTGAGAAGAAAGCCTCTGAAACCCAGACTCGCTTTTGGAGTGCAGGCATCTACACGAAGCCCCAAATTAGCCATGTATTTGAGAGTGATTGACAGCCCAAAACTTTCCCAGAGTACCAGAGACTCCCTCCTCCTCTCTCTCAGATCAAATTGGAAAGGAGAGGAGGATGCTGTTGGCAGCAGCAGCACCCAGCTTTCAATTAACACACGAGAAATCTTCCTCAGCATTAACGGGCTTCCAGCACGCATCACCCACCTCCCAGGAGGGAGCCTCATCTATCAGGCGAGGGGAAAAACCTGGCTAGGACACAGTTATTATTATTTTAATGCAGGATTCATTTAATGCCAAATCCATGCATCATTTTGGGAGCAGTCATCCATCTCTCCACGTATGAATCACGCACTCACAGGTAGTCCCACTTCAGCAAGACCTTTCCTCCCAAGCAGCCTCATCTCATTAAAACATTATTTTCCTCCCGCTGTCAAAAGCCAGTACACACTTTGGCAAAGACACCCACTGTTTCCCTCACACTTGCTCCGAGTTTGAGATAAGCAGCCAGGCCCAGAGCCCAGCCAAAAAGGCCATACCTCAAGGCACACGGAGCACCGTAGAAAATGCCAGTGGCAAAACCAGCGGCTCACGGAGCAAGGGTGGGGATGAGATGACCATGCTTGGATCTCAGCGCCTAACCCTGGGCACGTCTCTCTGCGCGCACCTGAGGCTCTGTCTGTCCCTCCTTGTGGCGTGACTCACGTCACGGACCCTCCACCCATCAGACGTCAGCCCACGGGTGAGCCGACGTGCCAGCGGCGTGGCACATTTTTTTCACCAGCGGCCAGTCCCGTGCCCGCTCCCTCCTCTTCCTCAGTTCTGCTCCAAGCCAAACGCAGTGAGGGCTGACCACTGGCAGCAAGGGCTGACCACCGGCGGTGAGTGCCCAGCGGCGGTGAGGGCTGACCACCGGCGGCGAGGGCTGCCAGTGCCACGGTGCAGGCACTGCCCACTGGTAAACCCAAATTTGGAGCCGCACGCTGTTTCTTCACTTCTCGCCCATCCTAACCACAGGGCCTCAGACATCGTCCGGAAATGAAGAACCATCCCTGATGGGCAGGATCACAGCCTGAGCATCATCTCTGTGGGAGAGCGAGCTGTTCACACAATGCTTTCTCCTTTAACCTGATATAAATAAATACCTGCGTCTGCCAACCGCTTGCCTGCCTCAACATTTTACATCGGCTGGTATCCTGTCTACGTATTTTTAAACATTTCTGCGATCCTACCCAGCGTTTGGACACGGGCCACCAAGGCAGCAAACGGATGCACGCAGCAGCCTACGCCGCACGAAACAAGGTAACCTTAGTTTGGCAGCTAAGAAAAACCAATGTACCTTAATTATTAACACAATAATTTCAGGGGCCAGGGAGTGCCAGCATGAAAAATAAATAGCCACGGGCTGTTTTTTCTAAGTTTCACATAAAAATGATATCCAAGCTCGTTTTGCACTTTCGTTAATCTAAAAACAAATCTAATAAGAGTTGTCATTTCAAGTGATGCACAGAAGGAGGAAAATAAACAGATATGCGAATTAAGCTATTATTTCCTTGGCACGAATTCAAAAGGGCTCTAAAAACTGAAATTTGGCAGACAAGTATTTTCTATTTATAGTCAAAGCAGAGGCAACCACTACAGCTCAGGCTAGGATTCAACTTCCAGTATAAACCCCCCTCTTCCAGTTTCTCACAGCAAACTCTTTCACGCAAATTCCTCTGGGAGAAAAGTTTTTCCAGAGCTTGGTGTCATCTGCCTCTAACCCCAGCCCTTTTTCTTTTTCCAAAGGAAAAATTTCCACAGCTTTTGTTCCATCCGTTTATGGACAAAACCACACCTCATCTTCTGATAAAGCACTTTTGTGTACAAAACAGTAAAGCAATTCTGTTCACACTCAATTTAGCTCCCAATAAGGGAAAACGGGTCACTGCTTTGGAAGTTACAAGCGATGTCTCTTTCACTTTCTTTTGTTTCAGGGATCCAGTGAAGACTTATGAATCCAGTGTACAGCTAAGGGGAAAAAAGACTCCTGTGTGCAGTTAGCTGCTAGGTTTCTGTGTTTAATCCAAATTCTGCGGCGTTGGGTTGCGACAAAGCCCATGAAAGAACGATGTCTTCTGGAGTCCAACGCAAACGCTTCAGGAGTCCAAGTTAAGAGCCCAAGAAGGACATCTAAGGAGAGACTATTTAGGAAAAGCCATGGTGTCCTCCTGCACTACCTGTTGTGAGAGAGAGGTCTTTTGAAAGTACTTAAAATATTTTATGATTAGATTTTTAAAAAGCCCCTAAGCTGAATATTGGCATATTGTTAGCAGAAATACATGAAAAAAAGCTTTCCTGCAAGATAAGCTGGTGGTGGTAATTAAATTCCCTGATTTTGCCCAAATTAACATCATAATTAAAACTTTAAATAATACCTGACATGATATCTACATAACCCTAACTGTCAGATCAGTTACAAATACTCTAGTAATGAATCAGCTGATTTGACAACTCCAGCACTTGCAAACTCTGGCAAAGTCAGGGATTTACTTTCACATCTTGGTAAAGAACCCAAATCTTGCAGTATTTCCACACTGCTTCACCTGAACGTCCGTCAGTGCCGCCTACCACTAAACCTGTGCCATAACTCCTAGGAGAGAAGCTCAGAGTTCGCACTGATGCGGTAAGCAATCACTGGTTTTTTATACTACAAATTTAACAGTCTATTGCATCGTCCTTCTCTCCCCATTTTTTCCCAAGCCATGCGATGTTTATGCATGATCTATTTATGGAAGTAAGTAAACACGTACCCTAGCAGTCATACTTAATACAGAACTTGTATCAGAAACAGTTACTGAATGCTTCCTACATGACAGAGAAAAAAACTTTCCAGTATCCACCAGTAGGTAAATAAAGAGAAGGGAAATCTCCTCATATGTAATTATCGCACATCTATATGATTTCACAAGTACTTGCAGCAATATAAAGAAAGGGATTTTTAAAACCCATATGAATGAGTATCTCATTACTAAAGGTAAGGACAAAATTAGAGGCGATCCAGTTACTGGTTTACAACTTACAAACCATCACCTGAGCTGTTCTAAATTAGTCTGTGTTCCCGGCCCAACACAACTGTAAAGATAAATATGTTCACTTAAACAAGTTTCATGGTGTGCCACATTAATACATTGCACCTTTGTTCGCAATAGACTAAGAGCATACGCACACAGTCAGCGACTGCTAATTAATGGCTGACTGATAATTTATGGCACTCATTCGCTGGCAACTCTGTCACTTTTCTAAGTATTAAAGAATGGGTGCCTTAGAAGATTTCTTGTATTAAATAAAAGCACCCTTTAGAAGTAGTTGCTCTTACTCGCTCACCCCAAAACAGAGATTTCAAATTATCACAGATTCATTAGCGTACACATGGGGTTAACTGGGGTTAACACCAGTGCCCGCTGTGAGTCCACGTGTGATCCCACTGCCCGGCCTCCCTGGCCAGCCCAGAAGTCCACCAGCCTACGACACCCGGAACTTTGTGTTT